TTCAAATGATAGTACTATTTTTTGAAACCGAAAGATTTTAATATTACTCACAAAATCTTATCTAATTTCTTTCAATAACCAAAAGCAAATATTACTCATTGAAGAGACAATCAATGGAAAGAGGTGGTTACTATTAATCATTGATCATTTTTATTTTTTATTATTAATTATTGTTGTTATGTTATTATTCACGTGATCATTTTATAACCATTCTGCAAAAGCGATTATAAACATTACTTAAGCAGCATTTTTCTAGTCCGGCTGTTTCAAGAAACATTCCAGCTGCTGAATTTATACGTACGAGATGCCTATTGTTGGTGAACGTTCGAAATTCTCATGTTTAAAGATTTACGATGATACGAGTTCGTCAAATGACGATAATGATGGCCCTAAGTTGATGGGCGGAGCGGAATCCGGCCAGGTATTTGTTAGGATTAACACAGTGGCTCTTGAGTTCATAATAGGAAATTCTAGAGGTGGTTGTGAATTATGGCGATTACTCAATAATGATCTAAGAATCTATCTTCACATGATCTGAATCCATTAGTTGAACTGTTTAGTGCTTTCCGCGTCCAAATTACGGTAATCGTTGATTCTGTAAAGAGTATAAACCTTCAGCAATCATAGCAGCTTTTCTGGCTACATGCACACTATTCTGCAGGGAATGAAGATCAAAAGATCTATGTGGTTGATTATTCGAAACTTTCTATTTATTCTTCGTTTCAAGATTTGTTTTCAGAATAAGAATGATAGAAATCAAAAAAAGTCATCGGCTACATGCAAGAGTGGTGGTGGTCTCATTGTCCATTCCATACCGCAGAAGCGGAAAAATAAAGGCAAAAAAACCAAGAAGGTAAGTAAAAAATATAATTTTTGATACATTAATTTTAATTTATCATATATAATATGAATCAGCCAAGATAATTGTGAAACGCGATTCATATTCTGTAATGCTCAGTTGAACTTATTTCAAGACAGCTGTCGTTATGGAAGGTGGTTTCATAGTGCAAGACGGAAATGGCGATTCTATGGACAAGAAATATCGCGAGGTATTTATTTGTCTTTCTTTATAATTATTTAGCAAAAACTTGACATTGCTTTTTTGAAATCTCTGCGCATATCTGTTTTTGTATAATTTAAGAGTAGTCCTCTTTTCCACTATTTTATTATTTCCTTATAAAGATTACTATAAAAGGTGCAAAAACTTTATTAAGGCTGATATGTATATGCGTTTTTTCCAAATCAAAATAGTCATTCTTTCTCCATCTAAAATTATGAATATTATTGTTTATCTTCATGCACATTTTTCCTGGATATTTCGTTCTTGCCATAAATGTTTCTTACAGGACTTGCAGCAAGCAACGGAAAACAATCGCGAAATAGCTTCCACAGCATCTGCCAATCCAGTGCAAGAGATAGCATCGCCAGACGTTTGTTATTTGAGCGACAGTAGACAGTTTCGCTTTTAACTAACTCATTATTAGAAGAAATATTATAGATTTTTCAGTTTCAGCTCCAGATAGAGGAGGAACCAATGAGGATGAAAGATGAGGTAGAAATGTTCATATCGGAAGTTGATTCACAAGCTTCTATTCTGTTCACAAAAAATGATGGACTTCAAAAGACTGTATGTTTCCATAGCAGGAATTTTACTTTTTTTTAAAATAAGTTTAAAGTTTTGCAAGGCTTATTAACATGCGTATTTAGTCATGGTTATGTGATTCATTGACTTGAATTATTATTCATGCATGCACAACTTTTAAATGATTTAGAAGGAGCAGTATTTAGTTGCACTGTATCGATCAAAACTAGAGGAAACACTTAGGCAAATGATGTTAGAAAACGAAATAAAGCTGAAAGCAGAGGCAGAAGTGACGAAATATAAAAGTCGTTATAAGAAATTGTGCGAATTGTTAAAGGATGCTGAAGGCAAGTTTCATACATTCATTCTTGTTCATGTTGCATCCTTAACTTCCTCTTGTTTGGTTCGGAATATCAGAAAAAAGCAGTCATAGTTTTTGAAAGTGATGTAGTTCAATTTTATAAAGTTCCAAAAAGCGACCAAAGTTTCACCATAAATTTTTTTTAATAACTATGTGTATTGTTACAAAGTAAATTGAATTATAACTATATTTTAGCTAAGCAATTACAACACTACTTATAGTGAATGAGAAAACACACATGGCCGCAGATCTCGAGAAAGCGAGAATGGTGGAGAGAGAGTTAAGTTCTCAGATTGGTGAGCTACGTGGAGAATTGATGCAGGCTCGAAGCAAAATTCGAGAACTTGAAATGAAATGCAAAGAACTAGCCTCAAAACAGCAGCACTAGCTCATAGTTAAATTTCACCGATATATGGAGTTGAGAGCAGAACTGATTACTACACAACCTATTTTCCAGATATGTTGTAAGAAATGTTAGGGGATATTTGTTCAACGTATTTGGTTTACTAATCTATTCATAACTTCCACCCTTTCAATAGTAAGGCATATACTAGGGAAAATCGTTCGTGTTCCGTCTTACTCCATATCTTGAATCATTTTATGTTTTATTCAATTAGTCATCAGATACTGTGATATTGAAACAATTATTTAGTGGAGTATTATTGGCTTAAATTGTTATATACTTTTCTAGTTGCCTCCCAGAATTCCGCTATCAACTATTGCTGCTGTATAAACAAAATCACTGCAGATTACGTGGTTGGCAATTTATCTGAACTATTTATTTTTTTTCTATGATTTGGTTCAACTCAAACCCACCAGCACATCCTTACCGATTCTTGAATGTATTTTTTAATTTTTTTAGCTGTTCGTTTGCTTCCTAAAATCATTCTTCAGTAATTATGGAATTTTCGGAATCTATTAAGCAAAGCATTTTCCAAAGTTAGAAAAGCAAAACCACTCAGACAGAAATATAGTTGTTTTGTGGGGCAGAGAACAACATAACCATTAATAATGGGATACATTTTTTAGTGACAAAATATTAGCTGCCCTTTGTGTACTCAGTTCTCAAACAAAAAAAGTCAAAATTTGTGCTATTTGTAATAACAGGGGAGTATTGGTCATGTTTATATTGTCTTTCAATCTGAACCATTCAAACATTTCGAATGAAAATCATACTATCGCGATTTGTGTTGACTTGAATCTTTGTAGCAACTTCTATCAATTTTTCTGCTTTGCAAGCAAACTTTACTCCACATGCTTTACAAAAATATACAATTCAAATCCATTTATCGTTTTTAGAGGATTGAATTCACTTGTAATAGTGAAGCAAAAAAGACAGTAAACAGAAATTAGCAATTCACCAGCTCCTGAAATTACGCTACTTGGAAAAAATTATGAATAGCCATCTTCTGGATGATGAGATTAGCTGCACTGTACTCTCAATTCAGTCAACTACTTCATCCAGAAATTACTAATGATGTCGCTAAGCACTCTTTTTCTTGGTGCAATTAATCAGTTATTTGTTAGGTTTGATTGCCAAATCATGGATGAATTCTTATTACGCCAGTCTTCATAGCATTCAGGATCAGATGAGTTATATTTCTTTACTCGGCGCGAAAACATTTAACTATTTGGCTTAAATTTAATGAGCTTGTTATTCGACGCTTAAAAAAGTGTAATTGAATTGCTAGCATTAAACTTGCCCTTTTTGTAGTATTCTGTCAGATAGTTTCATTAGTAATCTAATGATAACTATTACAGTTCTGCCTCTAAACTGCTTGTACAGATGCTATTTTTTGATTCAAATTAAGCAATCCAGTTTCTATATTCAACTGATTATTCTACAGCATTTCTCTCACAAAGATACAAGCATCTGTAATGACAATTTATTAAATTCACCAGAATAGGTTGATACAAAATCAGAAGCTTTTTACTTTCTTGAAGGTTCTTGTATTTGTTTTAATCTGCATCATTCCAAATAAGGCATAATCACAGAATGATATAAGAATGAGAATGAAAATGAAAGCAAACAAAGGTTTGAAATGCAGTGCTAGGAAAGACCAAACAGTTTGACCAACTTAAACGACAGTCCCACTCATTCGTTTCTATTTCCTCTCCTAACTTAAATTATTTCTAAATTTTCCTCCTTGGAATTTCTTGAATTTAGCTTCTTTATTTAAAACTTTCACCCTTCTTTTTAATAATGAAACATAATTCGTACGGTTAATAAACCAAGATTGATTAAAATGAATCAAGTTAAATTAAGTAACAGTAAAATAGCAGTGCATAATGACTTTAGAGACTTCACAGGTAAATAAATAAAATATGAGGCTGCCTGTTGCCACCTATCGTACTAGTCACAAAAAACATTTAAAATGTCGGCTATAACAGACATGATAACATCATGACTGCCAGGAAGTCCTATTTATAGCAATTTTTGCACGACTGTGAGGCAATTCCAATTGCAGATACGTGAAAACCAATCTCGCGTAATTTGTTATGATCCAGAATGAGCCGGCCATCAAACACTGACGCCGGTTGTGCCATTGAATTGAAAATATATTTGTAATCATAATTCTGAAAATCTTGTACTTTAATGTGGCTCGACTTTGAAAAGTCGTTCCATTTCTTTGTGTTATTTTAGATTTCAATAACAAAAATTTATTAAGTATTTTAAACTTAACAAGCTATGTGGCATTTAAAATACTTGCACAGGAATTTCTCCCTTTCAAAAGCATTCAAGTTTGTGATAGTAAGCAGCAAACAAGTCTTGCTCAATAAAGAACTCATCCATAACGTCAACACAAAGTAAGGAGTTGTATATCAGTGACAAATAATAAACAGTGAAAATAAACCAAAAAGAAAGAGAGAAAACTATAAAAACGTTGAGAAGATCCATAATCATCATCTTAGAAAAAAACTCACTTTGAACTCGTCCCATTCAGTAAGCACAACTATAGCATGTGAATTCATCGCTGCCTCGTATGGATCCTTGGAGAATGTGAATAGTTTATCAACTGAAACAAGTCACTAAATAATTTCCTTATTTACTTAATATGAAGTTTTTTTATAATAACTTCTTTGCCACTATGAATACAAAAAAGGGATTCTTTAAAGCTTGAAAATTATACAATAGAATATGAAATGAGAGATAGTAACTGTATTATTTTTCCTTGTTATATTTTTATCAAAAAAAAATCATGAAATTGAAGATTATTCGTGAATGAATAAAATGTAATATTTGAGACTAATAAGGAAGTTACTTCCTTGCGTGAAATTAGTTCAAAATGAGGAAATAAATGATAAAACAATAAAATGTAAACATGCGTGTATACCAGTTTCTTTGGAGGAAATCTGATTTAGTTCAAAACGCATTTGTGATTCTGGTACTTTTGGATCGTATATAACCAATTTAGCATCTTCATCAAGCAAATACTTAACTATGTAAATAGATGAAGATTCCCTAAGAAAATTAATTAAATTTGGACACCATAATGGAATTAACCCAGTTATGTGAGTAAATGAAATAATCCAATTTCATTTTCAAAAAAAAAAAATAATTGAACTTGTGACTAATAGAATTGGCCATTTATGTGAGTAAAAGAAATAATCCAATTTCATTTCCATGTGTTAGACATTGTGCTCAGTGTCCTACAAATAGTTCTCACTAAAAAAATCTTCCAACGTAAAGAAAGTGCACCGAAGCATAATAAAATATGAAATGACCTTACAGTGTAATACTTTCCTTCGAACTGTGAGCGATAATCACAGAATTTCATAAATCACTGACATGAATTCAAATATTTTAAGTGTAACTAAATGTAAAAACCTCGTATCGGCAGTATTTTTCTTGAAAGCAAAACCAAATATTGCGATTCTCTTGCTTGATACCGTATCAAACATTTCGGAAATGATTTTATCAGCAAAACGCCGCCTTTGCCAATTATTGATTTCAACAACCTATGAACCCATTGTTAAATTCCGTTTTCAACTCCGTAGCTCACTAATTTGATTTTTTTTAAATACGCATAAAACCAAAAAGAGCTTGAGAAACTTATAATTAATTTTCGAAGTTTAAATGAATCTCATATAAGCCACATACTCATCATTTTATCTATCTTATGCCTTCACTTATAGGCTATTCAGGAGAAAGAACTTTCTTATTCGACTTACTTGCAACCAGTAATCAGCTACTTTGTGAAGATTCAAGGATCCGGCGAGATAAACAAGACTTAAAACATCTTTTTGAAAACAGCTACCTCCAAAGCCTAGAAAATTCATTTTTAAATAATTAGAAGAAAAAACAGTAATCTTTTTTTCCAATTATCTCAGGGTAAACATTTCAGTTAACTAACCAACACTAGCTTGAAGAAACTGATTTCCAATACGAGTATCTCGACCAATTGCATAAGAAACTTCACGTATATCAGCACCAGTCGCTTCACAGATGGCAGATATTGCATTTATACTTGAAATTCGCTGTGCAAGAAATGCATTGGCTGCCTGAAAATTAAAAATGAGTGGTATCGAAGTGACTTTAACTTAGTTGCTGACTTAAGCATTATTTAAACATTTCACTGATAAGAATATATCCTTTAACGCAGTGTATTGTTTTTCTCAACCAAAATCATTTCCGCAAAAATGGGAAACGTCGTGGCGTGCTTTAAAAATCTCAAAAAACAAGTCCATTTCTCACTATATTGAAGAATTGATTTTGATTTGAAAACGTAACATAAAATACTTGCCAGTTTTGACAGTTCTGAAGACCAAGTATTAGTAGTAATAATTCTTTCTCGTGGCACCCAGTGCTCATAAATTTGTATCAGTTGAGCCATAGCTGCCAAACCGTCCGGAGAACTCTCTCCGCCTATCAAAACACGATCCGGATTTGCCAGATCGTTTATTGCTGTTCCTTCTGATAGAAATTCCGGATTCGACAATACCTGAAATTTTAAGAATGAGAAGCTAATCGGATGCAGAACATATCAATTTCTTCTATTGTGAAATCAAGGAAAATGTGATGAAAAACATGATCTGAGCAATTGAGAGCAAAAATTTTTAGGGGAAATTTTGCATATGCTAATTCTTTTATCCTCCATTTCATAGTAATATTTTCAATAAAAACAATCAAAATTTATCGTTACTTGAAAAGAAAGCTGAGGATTTTTCTTTTGTGCTTCATTCAATATAGCACTGATGCTTTCAGCAGCTTTCACCGGCACCGTGCTTTTCTCAACAACAATTTTAGGACCGCGAGAATGCTCTGCTATGGCACGTGAAACAGACTCCACGTATTTCAGGTCGGGTGCCATACCCTGAAATTGACAGTCTTTCCAATCAATATATCAAGAGCTGTGGAATTTTTCTTTTACATTTTATTCCTAACTGTATGACGCTTATCGATGTACCACTTTTAGACATGTATGGCTTCTCTATTCATTGCCTCATTTCTCTCTCTGAGCACAATCAAAAAAAACTTTCTCGTACATTCTATCATAACAAAATGTTGAGCGAACTTTCACACTTATATAATACTATTCTTCATTAAGACCACTGTTAGCATTGCTAAGAATTTTAGAGGTTGCTGAAAAAATGGGCATTTTTCAGATAGAATCTAAGCTTTTGCATAAATTTGATGCTAACTTTTCCTCTTCCATATGTTTTTGTCGGTGTATTAACGGACATGAAAATAAGTTGTGCATTTCGTATTGCTGACGGTATATCATCGGAGAAAAAAAGATTCCTTCCACGACATGATCTCACAATTTCATCAAGATCTGGCTACAAAGAACGTTTGTAAATTGCATATTGAAAAAGTCTTAAAATAGAATTTTGAAAGCCGAGAAGTAGAAAATGACCAAGAGCGTTTGAAAAATGTTCTAAAAAATAATGAAATTATTGATAGAAAGGTTTGGAACCTCAAAAATAGGTAAATGATCTGAATTCCATTGCTGGATCTTTTCCGTATTCATATCCACAACAGTGACTCGTATTTCTGGGCATTTATAAGCGATCATGGCACATGTTGGCCCACCAACATATCCGGCACCTACGCATGCTATGTTTTCGACCTCAAGTATTACCATTTAGTGAAAAAATTTTGTGAGTGAAGAAAACTACTTAGTTACATTGTCTACCTCGGCTAAACCCCACACATAAATGACAGTGCTAATAGCAAGAACAATGGTCAAAATTAATAAAAAGTTTCAAGTCTAATTTACAATAGTAATATTAATATGGCTGAAAGCTAAGCGTAAAATGCAAGTAACTGAAACATTACTACATTTTAAGTAATCTACATAAGAAGAACTGGAGAAGTATAAAAAGTTGACAAATAAAGAAGAAAAGTGAACAAGAAAACAACTGACCTGTTGCATGAAAGCCATCTTTCAAATAAGATAATTCACATCTGAACAGCAATGCACCTACGCTTTATAATGGTACTCCAACTCGGAATAGTACCAACAAAACATTTGCAGCGATTCATACTGCAGAGGGATTTCGATAAAACTTTAAGATAATTTCAGTTTCCAAACATTCAAGTGGCTTCTTTCAATGGTCTATATTCAGGTCAGCTAACTGACCACGGTAGAAGTCGAACAAAACCAAACCGTTTTCCAATATTGCATAAGCTACCTCTTCTATTATTAGGCCGTAGAGATTCAATGGAAGAAAAACATGGCTCGGACATTTGAATTTTTAAATTTAAATATAAAAGATGGCGTGATAGACATGGAAGAATTAAGGATAGTTAGAATTTCTCAATGAGAAATTTTCTTCTAACATTATTCTTATTGAATTCCCATTCCAATTTCCTTCTCGTCTAGCGATTTTCATCACACAATTCCTTCCGGAATTTCTCGTCTTTCCTGATATATCCACAAGAATCGGAATATAAGAAACTTTTGAATAAAATGAAAATAAATTTGAATGAAGAATATGTAGAACATAAGGGAATCTAAAAGAAGAAAGTTGAAAAATGCAATTGCCAATAATAAATGTTAACACAAATTTTAAAAAAAATAAAAAAAAGGAATGAAAATAATTTTGAAAAAGTTTTTATAAATTAAATAAAATTTTGGGAGAAATAATCTTTCGTAATAAATTCAGAATCTTTGCATTTGAAAAAGACATTTTTTCTATTTACTAAGCTATTAATTAATGAACAAATTAAGTAAGAATAATTATTTTGTTTATAATTCTGTGAAGAAAAAAGCATCGAAACCTTTAAATTTGAAAATTTCATTAATTATCAAAATGATTTATTTAAAGAAAAAAAGAAAATGCAAAAGTAAAATTGGAATTATCACAACAACAAATAATTTTTTAACTGATAACTTTTACTTCAATTCAGCCTAAAATTCTAATGTAAAATAAAGCAAAAGAAATGCTTCTTAAATTTAGGAAATAAATGAAATCGAAAAGAATTTATTTTTGCTCAAAAAATTGGAATTTACTTTTCTCCTGAAATTGCATACTGAAAACTATTGAATGAAATATTATGACTTTAAAATGAATTTGATTATTTAAAAAAGAAGACAACATTGTAAGTTAATATATAGTACGATTAAGGCATAAATAATCTTATTAGGCTATCATACAGTTAATTGAAGCTAAAACTATTTTCTAAATCAGCCATAAAAAGGAATTAGGATGTTTAATTAATTAATAAAGGTAGATATAAATTTAATAGGAAAAACAATTTTGATATTTCTAAAGTTTGATAATTCGAAATGGAATGTCGGAAAATTTTAAAGAAAGAATGCAAGAAATTTCAAAATAGTGCGAATGGAAAACAATGAAAGTAAAATTAAATTTCCCGCATTTAATTGTTCATTTAATTCCTCATAACTTATACATTGACCCTAATTTTTACTTTCAAACGACCGATTCAATGCTCGCATTTCACACTTCCCTCTTCCATTGAAATAATTTAGTAATTGTGAATGACTCTGCAAATTCAAATTTACAACTCATCGAATTTCATTTTAATTATTCAAGAAAAAAAATTTATCCATTGTTTTGTTAATTGGAATTGAGAGTTAGTGCGCATTAAAAGTTGCATCTTCTATTCATCGATCATCAGTAATAGAGGATTTAAAATCTTATTATAAATTTGAAACCATACACAGGTATATTCCTAAGTTGTGCTGTTATTGAAAAGCTAGAATTTGATAAATTTTCACTATCACTTCATGATAGCAAATATATCTCTTTCTTTTCTTTACGTAGGAATGATAATAACAATAATATAACCGCTGATAATCAAACAAAGAAGTAAAGTTGGGTTCTGAGACTGTTCAATTCAAATCTTTATTAAAATATATCAAAGTTTTTGAATAAAAAAAATTTATAACTTTTCCATTTTTATTTTGTAAAAAGCTATGAGAGAAATTAAGCAGCGAACGTTGAAGGAAATAAACTAAAAAAGTAATGAAAAGAAAATATTACTTAAAAATCATTTCTTTGAAGATCGGTTTGCAACAGAAATTTATAAAATTAATATTTGAGGATAAAATTTTGATATGTTCAATCAGATAGACTCATTGCTGACAGTCATATTATAAGATTTTTATAATCATTTATTTTCAAATTAAGTAATACATGGGAAAAAATATTATATGTCGAATAGTTATTTTTAAATCAGTTCATTTAAAAACAGAAAAAAAAGAAATACTCATTCATTTTATTTATTATTTTTAGTGTGAATGAAATTGTTCATTGAAAATAATTCATCGATATATGAATTCAAATGAAGGAAAAATTATTTGAATAAATTATGTTTGTCTTTAACCTTCTAGACATTTTATGAAGTCTTTTTAATTTTAGGAAGCCTGTTTTATTACATTTTCTTTGAGCCTTTAAAATGGAAATTTCAATAAGGAATAACAGAGGTAATCGTTATTACATTTATAACAGTACATTAGTTTATGCACCATAAATTTGCTTGTTCCAAATGAAGTTGACATTTAAATATCATTATCAGTTTATGAGCTGATAATATTATACATTAACATAAAATGTTAAAATATAATCATCTCTTTATTCATTTATCAATTTGTTGAACTTTCAGCTTATTTTATTTATATAATTGGGGCATGGAAAAAATTGCATTAAAATTATAACGAAGAATTTTGATACTTAGCAAGGCAACATTAACTTCACATCAGAAGCTCAGAGCATGAAGAAATATTCAGTAAATCCACTTCATATACTTTCATCATAAATTGATCGCTGATCAGGCAGGCAAATAAATCAAAACAAAATAAAGCCAATTTATGCACTTCCGGTGCTAATTCTCGATGTGAAGTAAGCAAGGAAAATTGGTTGAATTATGTGCTAATCTCTTTTATAATTATAGTTAGTATCTTATATAATGCACAAAAAAATCAATCAAACTTGGAAAATCTAAACTGATCAATTTGACCTTCTACACGGACATTTACACTCAATAATCGCTTTGAATCGAAGAAATACAAGCGTCCATCGACCGGATTATAATGTAACATGGTCAAGCCACCGTAAGGATTATACCATTTTATACTTACATCTATTGTTTCATTCCTGAAATGAATTTCTTTTAAAGTTTCTTTGCCTAAATATTTTTATTTAAAAGAAAGAAATCGAAACCATTTATTTTTATCTTATCTGTTAAAAGAAATAATTTAAGATTTCCTCATTTAATCAAAATTTATCATTCTTTATAAATTGTTCATTGATCAAACTGATAAGTAAATCGAAGCAAAATGAAGTCACTTTTTCTTTCCTAACTTATTTTCATGAAATTAATAGTGCTAATTGACTTACCTAAATAAATCATAGGCAAAATCAATTACAGTATCTCGATCTGTGGCACTTTTTAAACCATATAATATTCCACACATAATGAATGTCTCAGCTACGCTCGTTGCATTCAATTCATAAATATCCCAAGTTCGAACAACATGCATATTCTAAAATTGTAACCTTAATAAGACTGAAGATATGATAATATATTTATAATATGGCAATTCAGTCATTTAAAAGTTATTAAAAAATCGTACGTATCATTTTTTTGTAGTAATGAATTAAATGAAGGTCAAGGTAGTCAAGGTATAGTTTTTATGGCTACTTATCTACTACCTACGCATAGGTAGTAGATAAGTAGCCATAAAAAATGATTAAAGAATTCAATGCAATATATTTACCGGATCAATTTTACTAATTGTTATATGTTGCATGCCAGATCGTACATAAGCTACCCAAAGTCCATTTTCATCAGCCGAATAATCAACGTAGTTATGAGGACGATTATATAACCATACGTCACGTTCCGTTTCGTTGCAATTCTTCAAAGTGATATCCATAAATATTTAAATAGTTAATAATTAATAATTAATAATAATAATAATAATAGTTAATAATAATAATAGTAATCCTGAAAAGAGCAAATGGTTTGATTTGAAGAAAAAAAAGCTATGAAAAATTATCAACTAATCAATCCTTGTTAATCGATCCATTACGCTTGACATTACCACGTATAACAAATGATGCATTATTAATTGGTACTTCAGATCTTTTCTCTTTATTAAGTAAATTAATTCGTAAAAGATTAAGAATTTCTTCTTCAACTTTTCGGCATTTGAACAACATTTCAATAGGAATCTTAGGAAAAAGAAGCAATTCTTTTATATTTGTTTAACTTATCAAAAAAAATAAAATTATCGTAGGCGAAATATTGAATTAATATAATTTATTGCATTGATTATTACAATAAACATACCTCAAATGTATAATCTTGCCTTCTTGAACAGTCCAGATATGAAATAGTACCCAAATCCTTCTGTGTTTCATCAGTTGAATCTAAGTCATACTTAACTAGCATACTTGAGCTATGCCGATGATAGTAATATGAACCATTGTAGATAATATTACCTGTACCGGATGCCAAGTAATCTATGTAATATCTAAATGTTGAAAATTATGGTGATAAAATATGTTTAGTACGAGTTTTTTATTTCAAATTAGAAGAAATAAAAGGTGATGACGAGTTTCAAGTTATGAAAGTTAATAATACTGCAAAACCGGAATTTATTTTTCAATTACAAACCATCAGATTACAGAACTATTTACAGTTCAATTACATAAGGTCATATGAGTTTCAAACGAGAAATTATAATTATATGATCTACAATCTGTTTATCTGATACTTCTGGAAAGATGCGATGTAGAAGAAGCTTACAAATTTTAATTTCATAAACAATTACTAAAAAAAGTAATGAATTAATTTTGTCGAATAAAATGAATTGTTATAGGATGGAATTTAATATTGATACTTGATATTTTGTTTTTTATTCATTAATTGTTTTTCGTTTTCATATTCATAAAGAACCGGTGAAGCATAATCATCCGTAACCCATCGTCGTTCTGCCATTTCTTGACTGAAAGGTAAATTATCACGCATCCATGATCCAATAGCACTATATTGTGATTCAGCATGAAGTACCGGAATACCGATAGCATTCAGAAGGCAAACTAAAAATTAAGAAAAAAATAAAATCAAGAAAAGAAATTAAGAAAAAAGACAAAAACAAAAATTAATATATTTGACGATGTAAATCACACTTGAAAAGATAATGAAATGATGAAATGTAGTACTGATTAATGATAAAATATGGTACAATTATTGATTAATTTTATGACGGAAGAAATTAAAATATAAATTAGGTCTTTTTAAAAATCATTAATGATATGTTTTAATATTATACAAAATAAATTAATACTTCTGATAATATTCTATGAATTTAACAAGAAAAGATAATGAAATGATAAAATGTAGTACTGATTAATGACAAAATATGGTACAATTATTGATTAATTTTATGACGGAAGAAATTAAAATATAAATTAGGTTTTTTTAAAAATCATTAATGATATGTTTTAATATTATACAAAATAAATTAATACTTCTGATAATATTCTATGAATTTAACAAGAAAAGATAATGAAATGATAAAATGTAGTACTGATTAATGACAAAATATGGTACAATTATTGATTAATTTTATGACGGAAGAAATTAAAATATAAATTAGGTTTTTTTAAAAATCATTAATGATATGTTTTAATATTATACAAAATAAATTAATACTTCTGATAATATTCTATGAATTTAACAATTTTAACAAAGTTACTTTGTTAAAAAATGATAAGAGTTTTGTGTAACAAATGAATTTATCATCCATTTCAGACCTCGTTTGTTGTAGCCAAATGTCGATGGACCAATATATGGCTCAGTTGTTGTAGAATATTCAATGAAATCTCCTTTCATCATTGCATAATCCTCTAAAATATATCCAAATCATCTTGAATGATTTTATTTTTTATCATTTAACTAATAACTATATAACATCGTTTATAAATAAAATATTTTACACTACTGGTCAAACAGCTATGATAGAGAAGAAAAAATAAGAATGAATACTAATTATTTTATAAGATACAAAAGAAATTATCATTAATACTGTAAGCTTAAAATATTTTGACATATTTACTTTGTAATACTTTACATTAATCACCTTGGAAAGGTGATGGTGATGAAATGGATTCAGATGGCGATATTGTTTTTTTCAACATTTTTGGTGTAGTTTTTGTCATTGTTGTTAACTTGGATAAAATCTGCGTACTGATGAATGGACGAAAACGAGTTGTAGTTGGCTTAAAAGATATCATCTCTGTTATCTACCAAAATTTAATTACTTAAATTAATACTTATAAGTAGAATTAATTTACTTAATATTCAATTCATTGATTTTAAATCCCATAATTAAAATTTCTGCCTGCGTTGTTATTTTTAAATTACATAATTGCTTCAATAATTCTCACTTTTCTCCCTTATTATCTTCTTTAGAATTAGAAGAATTTTTTTAGTAAAATAAGCACACTATAATTTTCAGGAAAAAATTTTCTCTCAAGATCTATATATCTCTATTTTTTTAATGATAAACACAGGTACCGGTACAGTTTTTTCTTCAACCTGATATAGATCCGGAAATAAGCAGTTACATCGGCCTAAAATTTTAGTAATTAACCTTTACCCAACGTTACACTCCTTATTACCCTTCAGGTAATAAAAATTCATAATTTAAATGTGAAAGCGTTTTGAGAAAGAACAACAATAGTTTTTGTAATATCTCGAGCATACTTTTACCTTTTCAATTGGAAGTAATTCGATAAGCCAGTAACTTATTAAACTATAAATATAAATTCCTAAAAGTTTCAACATATTAAAATAATTAATTACAAGAATTTTTTCAATTTTTAAGAATAACCATTAATGCCTGGCTCTCCTTTCTCACCGATATTACCGATCAATCCAATCCGACCAATTTTACCTGGCTGACCTCTTTCTCCTGCAAAACGTCCAGATCACTGATTTTTTTCTGCCGCTTTTTTGAAGCTATTGAAAATTGGAAGGAAAAGTTTAAAAGATTTGGCTATCTGCAATATTCTGATCTTTTCATAAATCAGTCGACAAATACTATGTCAACTTTTGTTTGCAAAAAAAATTGGCATCATTTTCACTTTGTGAAATTTAATCAGACATTTAGAAAGGATTGTACCGGGAAGTCCAGTAACGCCTTGTGATCCTGGTGGACCCTGTACTCCTTGGAAGCCCATTAATTTCTGGCCAGTTGCGGCACAGTGGCGATGAATATGCTTACAAAATCTTTCGAAAATCATTTTCTAAAATTTTAACAACTTAATTTTTTTAATTTAGAATTTCAGGTCTCCAAAATTATGAACTTTGAATTTTTATGCTATAGAATTTTAAACATTGGCCGTCTTTTTACATAAGAAAATTTAGTTTAAAGAAATTATGGTATCTTGTTCAATGCATACAGTCCATTGATCATTACTTCCAGCGGATAATGATGACAGCCGCGATTGTTCAGCTATCGATCGTTTCACGTCCATCGATTGTCGTCTTATCCGAATACGCAATACTCTGTTTTTGTCACATTTCAGCATCTATTAAAAAAATTTGATATTTTTTAGCAATGCATTTTTCAGATATCATATATCACCAATATTTATATATACAAATAATTTTGTCGAAATTTACATAAATAAAATGAAAAGCAATTAATAATTGTTTTTCATAAACATTGTTGGTTGTTTATTTGTATCATTTAATTTATGCTATCTATTTCAATGTTAAAATTAGGAAAATCACCATAATGATAAATTGATAAGGTAAAAAAAAAGAATATTGGTACAGTAGTAGGATATGGTAAAGAAGGAAAGAGAAGAAATGGGTTGTTACCTGCATACGTATGATAGTATCGGAGTAGAGTAGAATAAGAAGAATTAAATTTGCAAAATGAATTATGTAAAAGCATTGAAGCCGGCGATAAAAGATAGCCATAGAGTCATGCAGGAGATTCTTCCTCACTTATTAATTTTCCAATAAAATGAAATAATAAATTGATACCACTCATCTCATCCAATGTTGCAATATATATAAACAATTCGTCTATGATAGATAATCAACCATTTTGAATTATTTCCATTCCAAAATATTCCATCACTTCTAACAAATTTTTGTTTACATAACGGATTGCAGGAATGTCAGGAAAAGCGTAAAGATAAGCCACAATAATATTTTTCGACAATGAAAAAGAGTGTATTTTGCAACGAATTGAAAATTGTTGCTAAATAAATTGCTATTAAACAAAATTCAAATTTGTTAAATTTCATTGATTACTTTATAATATAACCATTATAACGATGAAAGAAGAATTTTAAGAGTAAATAATTTTGGGTTACTAAAAAAGCCGTAATTCAATATACCATAAATGTTTCAAATAATTTCATTTAATTAAAATATTCTCAATAACAAATTTGGAAACAGAGAAGGTTTTAGAAAATGTTTTTTAATTTTTATTTAAAATGGAAAATTATTTAGCGCAAATATACAAATTCATTACGATGTCTAATGAATTTTCGCAAGCTGTTTCCTAAATTTTCCTTTTCCCATATGGGATTTTGCTAAGAGTATTTTCATGAAAGTTTACTTTCTATATCACATACTTACTTACGCATTCCTGAATAATCATTTTTTCTTTTCCATTTTACTCCTCCCACACATCCCATCCATTTTACTCGATCGGATCAGTATTTCTGATTAATTTAATTTTATTCTTTCATTTTTCATAGATTATTTGTTTCTCTGTTGACTACCAGTTACTGTTACTGATCGAAATGTGATATTGTCATTCCGAAGAAATTGCATAATTTCAAAAACGGAATATCTCTTGAGATTTCTTGATTATCTTCTACAAAGACGGAAACATAAACAAAATGAAAATGAAATTACTGGGAAAAGTGCTAAACATCCTTTCATGTTATGTCATTTTTTTCTTTATTTAAGCTTCAGAATTTATTTATTTTAAAGAATGAATTTTAAATAGTCGAAAAGTTTTCAATTTTCATTATCCTATACAAACAGTACTCTCTTCTAATTACAATTTTCACTTTTGTTTCAAATTTATCTTTGTTTCAAATTTTAAATTATTTTTACAGAAAGAAAATGCTTTGATGACAAATAGTTGAAAATTTCGATTCCTTCATACATTTGTGATAATTTTATTTATAATTGGCGAAGTAATGACAGTAAAAATTAGGATAATAAAGTAAAGATAATAAATATTTTATCATGATAATAGGATATATTCCATTCTCCAAATTATAGTATTTATCATCCTTAGTTTCACCAGAAAGTTATATGAAGAAACATATTTCCAAACGATTTACTGTTCAGATTGAACAATATTTTTTTTTAAATTTATACTGGATGACCTGAAATTTGCATAAATAATTTTGTCGGAAAACTTTTAATCATTTCTCTTTCAATATTTTTTGCCAATTCATTTTATTCGTCGAAAATGTTATGCAATTAAAATTGTTATTAGAAAATTTCCATAATTTTATTTATTACTAAATTTTGAAATTTTTATAACAAAACTTCGTCACAAAACAATTTGATTGAAATATCTTTTCAGTAAAAAAGAAATTAAATTATTTCATTTCAGAACAAATCATTTGAAATATAAAATAATTAATTTCTGTTATGAATTATTGCTATCAAAAAATTATATGCCATTTTATAATTAAACTTTTTGCTATAAAATGCATTTTTAATTGCTAACAATAAAAGAACTTAATAATTAAAAAACCCAATAATTATTCGAAATTAATATTTCATACTGAAATAATAGCATTGAATTGGAAATAATAATATAAAGCGCTCATTCCTAAAGGATTTAATTTAAATTCAACTCATTCAATTCCCATTTTATTTGCTTAGGATGCGCATTTCATCGATTTTTCAAATATATTATTTTTCAGTGAACCTTCCGAAAGCTTCATGTTTTATTCATTGTGAAATAAATGAAGCAATAGCAATTGCTTCGATATATGTAATTTAAAATGTTCCGATTCCGATTGCATTATAAATCTTTTTTTATTAACTTCGTCTTTTTTTATTCCTTCAAAAATTTCTATCTGATATTTGACAAAAACAATCAGTAAGAATTCACTTTTACATATTCTATTTTATTTCATTTTAATTTAATGATTAAAACTTTTTGAATAAAATAACATTTTTCCATTTCTTTCATTCAAATAAAATCATTCGATCGAATCCATTAAATGGTTTTATTTTATTAGGGAATAGTTAATATTATTATTATTCATAGATTTGTCATATGTGATTGTGACAGCTGAAGTTATTCTATTTTAGGCCAATCTATTTTATTGTATTTTATTAAAATTGCCAACATTTTTTGTTTTGCTGAAACAATCAGACAATTGTAGTGATACTTTGAAATTTTTCAATTAAATCCATTTCCAATAAGATTTATTTGTTAAAGCTAAATGAAGCAAACGAAGCGAAGAATTTGTTCACAAATGCGATTGCATTAATATATCTTTTGATATATTTGAGCATTGTTACTTTAACAATGATGCGAAAGTAGACAACTGCGCTAATATATATTTCTTTCATTAACATCTTTTTGTCTTATTGATAATATGGCAAAACATTTTGATGTTATTTTTACAATTTATTATAATTAACTCATTTAATGATGTATGCATGAATACATATGTATCTTTGATATGCAAAACAACAAAAGGAAGAGTAAAAATAATGCAAAATGAAATATTCAAATTGCGTTTTTCATTTAACGCAATATAATTTTAAATTATTTTATATTCGTAATTATGCTTTTCATAAATACATTTATTCATTTTTCACCAAATGATATTGTATATATAAGGAAGATTTAAAAATTTGCAACTTTTCTTTCAATTATAAATTGTCTTACGAAGGACTTTTCTTTTGCAAAAGAAAAGAAAATTTGAGAGAAATTTTAAATTGTCCTTCAGAAATGAAATAAAATTTCTACGGGGTCGGTAAGCGTCAATTGAACAATAATTCTCAATCTCCCACTTTATAGTAATTATCAGTGTGGTAAAGAAGAGAAAATAATGTTGAAGAATTTTTTCAAAAAACCAACAATCAAAGGGTAAGAAATCCATCGATCAAATGTTTCCGTTGAAATCTTTACTGCATTTTGTAAAAAAAGTTCATATGAAAGTAAAGTAAAGTACTAATTTTGATTGAAGAAAAAAAAATGAAGCTGATTGATAAATAGAAGTAATTTATGATATTTTATAACAAATGAATTGAATTCCATTAAGTTGTAAGAATTTCGAAATTGAAATTTCAATATGCTTTGCTTCGTCTCTTCTTGAAATTCGATTCAAATGAAAGTATTATTAATTTGTCAATTGTTGAGTTAGATTTTGATGTTATGAAATTAGAATTATCATTCGAATGACTTTCTCTATTCTTTGAATGCTATTGCTATCATAAGCAATACTTACAAATTATTATGATACTTTATCTCTTTTTAAAACTTTAGAATCTAATCTTCAACATAAATAAAAGTTAACATTAGGCAATTTATTCTTTATTAATTTCAATTCGTCGATTCATTACGAATTCTTATTTTTCAATTTATAAAATCTCGAAATCCTTCATTTCCATCCTGTTGTCCCTTCATTTACAGCTTTTTTTCATTTCTCAAATTACAATTTTATTATCAAATCTTTCAATTCGATATTATTATTATTCTTTACTAATAAATCTAAAAATAGAGAAGATTTTTCAATTTTTTTTTCGTCACATATATTATTTAAGTTTGGGGTATTCTTTATCAAATGACTATTTCTAAAATTATATTACCTAACTAATCCACCAGGCCTATATCAATTCCTAAGATATCATTTCATTCATATATTTTTTAATTCTTGTTTCAAGCATTTCTATTCCAATTTCTCAAATTCCAATTATCCTGAATTTGATTTTTTCTTGTAACAGATCAAGCGATTGAAATATATATTAGAGAAATGCCGAAGAACAACAGCAATTTTCGTGGATGAAAAGTAATACAAAATAATAATATTAAAAATAAACACTTCGAAAGAGTTATTTGTAATTTATCAAATAGCGCCTAGCTGCCTGCCTTTAAAGAGAATTGATGACAAATATATGATAGCTTGCTATGTTAGTAATCAGATGCAGTAATTCAATTCTCATGTCAAATGCCCTCTTTTAATGATTCAATAAATGCTTTGGTTTGTGCACAATTATAAGATATTTGTATATATGTGTCAATACCGCTTAACAAATATTTAAACCTATTGTAACTCAATTTTAAATAAATAAATAAATGAATGAATGAACGATACAAGATCATTTCTTTATCAGTAATAATGTTAAAAGATGGTAATATTGATTGATTTTTTAGAAGATAAGCTTCTTTCTTCTCTTTTGTATTTTCATATCTTTGTGGACATAGCTGTTGTTAAATAAATCATTAAAGAAGGCATTTGACATGAGAATTGTTGCGAGTGAACGGCGATTTATCTTCCATTGTTTATTTAAGCTAAGCTTTAGTGAA